CTGCTTGTGCTCTCTTGCTCTCTCTCTCTCTCAAATAAATAAATAACATTTTTTAAAAAGACAGAGATCACAAGTAGGCAGAGAGGCAGGCAGAGAGAGAGAGAGAGGGGAAGCAGGCTCCCTCCTGATCAGAGAGCCCAATGCAGGGCCGGATCCCAGGACCCTGAGATCATGACCTGAGCTGAAGGCAGAGGCTTTAACCCGCTGAGCCACCCAAGCACGCCAATAAAATTTTTAAAAAAAAAAGAAAATTCCATCGTCATCTCTGACATCATCAAGCTTCACTGACATCCTTCCTTTGCGTTCCTCTGAAGGTGGGAACCTTTGGTTTCCCATCTTTTGGCTTCCCAAAAGCCAAATGTGACATTTGGTCAATGTCACAACCTTTTTGTAGTCTTGCAGACTATAATCCTGGGACATGAAGGATAACAAGAAAGCATGGTTGTTTCAAAAAACAGAGGCCAGACTTGCCTGACTAGATCAGGAGAGGGTGTTTCAAAGAGGGGGAGAGTTGACTGGCTGGGTTATCAGAGGAGAGAGGCAGCAGTCTGAAGGCCAGCCTGGTGACTTGGGACGTCCTCCTCAGGTGTGTGCCTTGAACGTGACTTGATAACACTGTTCCTTTGTCATTTCATTCACGCTGTTTTCTGAAATGTGCTACCATTCCTGCCCTACAGACCCAAGCCCACCTTATCCCTCCTGTAAGTTTCCATCCTGTAAGTTTCCATCAAGCGCCCACTCCTGGTGAGGCTTATCCTCCTATGTAGGCCCCTGCGATCATTTTGACAGTGTTCCCTTCAACCATCTTGGCAGGGACTCACGTAGCATTTCAGCTTTCTGGCGTCTACTCTCCTTAGGTAAGATAGTAAGAAAGATCACTTATGCTTTTTAAAAGGGCTTCACAGTATCCAGTATCAAGTTAAGCTTTTAAATAAATACTTGTTAAATCGTATGGGGTTCAAACTTGGCCAGATTTGGGCAGAAGCTACAGCTGCTTTGCTTCAAGAAGAGCTTTCCACTGGAGTCAAAGCGACATCTGGTGGCTAGGGAGTAAAGGAAATGGCTCTGTGGTGGTAGGACGGGGGTGTGCAGGTTGAAGGCCAAGGTGTAAGGGAGTGCTGGTGGCTGGCACGTGGGGGCAGGGAGACCTGTGTTCGCAAATGCCACTGAGAGGGACGGCACAGTGTAACAAAGAGCACAGAGACATCTGGGCTGTTATGTAATCATAGTAATAATAATAATAATAATAGTAATAATAATAACAATGACAAGTTTCTCCTCCCCCTCTCTGCCTGGTTTCCTCATCTTGACGTAAGCATTTGCTACTATTACAACGAAACTTACTTGAGGAACCACCTAAAAAAAAGAAAAAAAAAAGAGTGGCTTGGAAAACAGATGGTGTCTCCTTGACAAGTTTCATTCTGATGGAATATTTTTACCATGGAGGGATTTACAGAATGAGTCATACTCATTGCCCACACGTGGGCAGATAAATAATTCCACTGTGTGAGGTTTATAAGAAATGTGCAGTAATGATGGCTGGAAGCAGATCTTGTTGGCTTTTCATTTCTAAAGAGATGGAGGAAGAGAGATTTGGAGGGGTGGAGGAGGGGGGCCCCGGGTGAAGCCAGGCAGGGGCGGGCAGGCTTTGTACTGTGAGGGGCGCATCATCATCTCTGTCCCCAAAATATCTGAGAAAAGCAGAGGGCACAGTTAAATAGGGCACCTCCCGGAGAAAACTCTTTCTGCGGGGGTGAGGCCTTCTGATGAACCCTTCTCTTCTGAGACTTCTCAGCAGGGATGGATGGTTTTTTGAACTGTACCCTGTCAAACCAGGCTAACTTGCTCTGCTTTTTGAGATGCTCTCGGTTTCTGAGCAAAGCTGTTACCGATGGGTAAATCCTCCACAATCAGGCCAGTGCATGGAATCGGTCTTATTTTCAGGAGGTAAGGAGGACAGAAGATCTATCTGGGTCCCTGTACCCTTGCATTCTTGGGCCATTACCGTCATGACTCCAGCTCCCCGCTACAGCCCCAAAGGGAAGGAAGTATGCTTGCAGGAAAAGGAATACTTTAGCACAAGCTTAAGTTCTGGCTACAAATCTCAGTGATCTCATGAACTGGACCAGGCCACGTCTAGCTTGGGCATCTCTGGTCTGAGCCAGTTAGAAGCAGGCCAAGTGGCCTCTATGGCTCCCTTTCCCTAGTTCTGTGATGAGTTTCTAGTCCATCTTGGTCCCACAGAGCTCGCCAGAGAATTGGAAAGGAAAGAAGGCGTGCTCACGGAGGTTGAGAGCACCTTTCGGAAGCTAAGAGTAGCTTCGTGGGCCTCCTTTCCTTTCCCCCATCCTTCCCTCCATCTCCTTCCTTCCTTCCCTCCTTCCAAAATTTACATTTTAATTCCAGTATAGTTAATCCATTGGCTTTCTAAGGAGAGAGGAAGACCAGGCTTGATTGGGCTTTTGGGCCCCTCATACTCTAGGGACCCCTGGGGAGAAGAGAAAACCTGAAAAAAAGACAAATCCAAAGACAAGAATCCAGGGCGCCTGGGTAGCTCAGTGGGTTAAAACCTCTGCCTTCAGCTCAGGTCATGATCTCAGGGTCCTGGGAACGAGCCCCGCATCCATCTCTCTGCTTGGCGGGGAGCCTGCTTCCCCTTCTCTCTCTGCCTGCCTCTCTGCCTACTTGTGATCTCTGTCAAATAAATAAAATCTTTAAAGAAGAAAAAAAAAGACAAGAATCCATAAGGAGAAGGTGCCAAACAACCACATCCCCTTTGAACATCTTAGAGCACCATGTTGGAGGCACCCAAGGAGGTCCCTGATTGTCCCTCTAGAGAGAAACAGGAACGATAGGGTCAGGGAGAAGCCCTTTAGCAAATGTTGAATGATTGGGGAGTGAGTAGGCTGAATGAACGCCCTTTCTGGATTAACATCATAATCTAAACTCGCTCCAAGAAGTCTAACACAATTTAGAGAAAATTATAATGTGAAGGTTCCTTTAGTTCAAGGCCTGAAATCTATCTTTATTCACACCAGTGGGCTTATTTAGGAAAGTTGTGAAGGCTTATTTAAGCTTGAGAAGAAGTAAGATTCCAACCAGGCAGAATGATCACTTTTGACTGTCTGTGCCTTTTGAGAATGTTTGTATTACAGAGTCACATGACTGCAGGGTTGAGAGGTTCTTGAAAGATCCTTAGTCCCGCTGCTAGGAAACTATCCTATGGACACACGAACACACGTGCACTGGGATGCATGTGCATCCCAGTCTTGCTGGTAACAAAAATAAGAATAAAACCATGGAACCACCAAAATCCATCAACGGGGGTTTAGGAATTATAGTTCGTCTATATATGCAACTGGTAAAGGGGATGAGGGACAGGTGTGTAGGCTGTATCATTGGGTAAGTAAAGCAAGTTGCCGAACACTCTGTGTGTGTGTGTGTGTGTGTGTGTGTGTGTAATGATCTCATTTGTGTGAAAGAGAAGAATATTTTAAATATGCTTATAAATGCTTAGCGCAATTCTAAAAGAACACCGAAGAAACTGGGGACCAATTAAGTTCCTATTTTTACCTTTCAAATTGAGTGTCTTCCTATGAGCTTGTGTTTGGTACCCCTTACACAAGTCACCTGACACCTAAAATTAAATTTCGATTAAAACATACGTTTTAAAAAGTATACCCTGTCTGCAGAAGCTAGCGCCACCAAGAGGTTATCCTGGCTGTCCTTAAACCCTCCCAGTGATGGAGAACTTACTGCCCAGTAACTGTTAGAAGGCATTTTGAACAAGCCCGCAGGTGGTAATCAGTTCCTATTAAGACAAGACCTACGAGGGTGCCTGGGTGGCTCAGTGGGTTAAAGCCTCTGTCTTCAGCTCAGGTCATGATCTCAGGGTCCTGGGATCCAGCCCCACATCAGGCTCTCTGCTCAGCAGGGAGCCTACTTCCTCCCCCTGTCTCTGCCTGCCTCTCTGCTTGCTTGTGATCTCTGCCTGTCAAATAAATTCTAAAAAATCGTAAAAAAAAAAAAAAAAAAGAAAAGACAAGACCTAGGAACTGGCTCAGTCTGGACTCACTCTCGATCACGACTTCATGAGTTCAAGCCCCACGCTGGGCACAGAGATTCCTTAAAATAAATAAAAATTTAAAAAAGAGAGAGAGAGAGAAGACCTAGGTTTCCAGGGGGCTGATCTATCACGCCTGTCTTTAGGGTTCTGGAGCTGGACAGCATACAATTCCGACAGCTAGTTCTTGTTTGTTTTTTGTTTTTGTTTTTTTTTTTTCAGCTTAAAAGATTATTTTTTTGAAGATATGAACAGAAACTAATTGGGGGAGGTATGTCCCCTGGCAAGAGCCTTCAAGAGACTAGAGGAACAGAATAAAAGACTTTCCAGGATGTCGTTTTAAGGAGGATATTAAGAGTCTATATCACGAAAGAGCCTTGTTTCCAGAGGAACCCGATCTGTACATGGGGATGGCACACTCAGAGCTAAAGAGCACACATGAATACGAGCACTGTTACACGGCCGGAAAAAGAAATCTTACTAAAATGGCAGGTAGAGAGTGATGGTCTGGACCAGGTCACTCATGGGGAGTGCCAGGTCAAGGAACCGGGCTTGGTCTGGGTTTTGAGAAGTGGGGAGTAGGGTTTGTGCAGGGGTGGGGGCTTTTGGCAAGGAAGGCAATGGCATGAACCGAGATGGGAACCCCCAGGGACAGTGCGCATGAGCAGGTGTCAGGGCAGGTGGAAGGTGTTGGGGGGGACCCCTCTTTCCTTTTAGAGGGTGACGCCCAGGGGGAGAATTATGCCCTACCATGTGCGCCTTCTTGCAGAGGCCCGGTGGTCAGCCCCATGGACTCGCCCAGGGCAGGTCTTTGTGCCTTGGGCTTGTGGGCATATGTTTCATAAAAATCCCCTTTACTGGAGAAGTCTGTGGACTGATGGGATTCTGATTTTCTACCACATGAAACGTGGGAAGTAAAGACAGGGACTCTTTTGGAATATTTTAATTAACTTATTTTATTATTTTTTTAAAATATTTTACTTGTTTATATATCAAAAGTGAAAAAAGCATATGATTCAACACAACTTCAAGAATGTTGGACCCCACACTTGGGTATCCTTATGGGGACTGTGTGTAGCTGTCACTGTCCAGTGCATTAAGAGAAACAAACAAACAAAGAACAAAGATTTTTCACTGAAGAGCGTGGGGAGGGGTTGTGGGGGAGGCGGTTAGGGTCCTGTTTGGGTTACATTCATTCATTCAACATCTATGTGCAATTCTTCAACAAACTGGGTCTTCATACCATGCCCCCTAGCTCGTTGGCTTTCAGAAAGATTATCTAGCTAGGGTAGTTAAGTCCGAGCTCGTGGTCTCTCTCATTCTCCTCTCTCTCTCTCAGTCTCTCTCCCCCTCTCTCACGTGTCCACTGCTCGCACACAGCAGCCGGAAATGACACATCGAAGTGAGTCACCAATGCGGCTGTGAATCACCCTGTAATTGGGGAAAGTTCTGTCCTGTTAGGTCGTGCAGCCCCTTGCTCTCCTGTTCCTAAATATATTGGAAAATTTTGAAAGCACACTGTCCTCGCTGTAATCTCTCTGACCCACCTAATCCTTTTGGTCCCTAAAGTTAGATCATCTTGGCGGGGGTCTTCGCCATGGAGTGGAAGGGCCAGGACGGGAGAGGAACCACGGGGCTCAGGAAGCCACAAGGGGGCAGTGTGGGCCCCACCACGCTTGCCGCCCAGAGGGGCAGCTAGTCAAGGGGCCAGACTCCTGAGAGGCAAGACGCAGACCACCAGGGAACATGACAAGCAAATTCATAGACTACGTTTTTCTTGAGGGTCCTCTTTCTCTCTCACAAGCACACAAGGACAAGGATGTGATTAAATACCCAAGCACACCCCTGGCATCCCACCCTCCCCACCGGGAGATTAGAGCCAAGAACCAGGCACTCATATCACTTCTCTTCCTCCATTCCTGCAAAATGAAGTTAGTGGGAAGCAGAAACCTGCTCCTATGAGTAAACAAGTCACCTACACTCCAAAATAATATATGCACACTGTTTCTGGGGAGGGCGATGGCCAGGTCAGGGCGGGTCTCCACCCAGGGCCGCGAGACCCTCCAATCTGGGGTGGCGTAGACCTCGAACGGGAAGTGTGCCTCTCCCACTGGCCTTCTTTGGCCCGCCGCCAGCCTCCTCAGCAGTGGCAGACAGTGCAAGAGTGACAGCTACGTGCCTGGAACACAAATCGTTTCCACCAAGCACACAAAAGCTCCTGCAAGCCTTGGGGTGCCATCCTGCCGGGGTCTCGGCGGGGTCCAGGTCTGCAGACCCGGATGGGCAGAGCAGCTGCGCCAGTGGTTGTCCGAGGTTTACAGTCTGGTGTGGAGACCCAGCTGTGCTTCGGAGGTCTCTCCGGGGGGCTCCACCGTGGAGTTTTACTGAAAGGTCCTCTTCCCCATTCCTGGGAGAGGCTGAGGTCTGGGATGCAGATTCGAAAAATTTACCTTTTTTTGTTTTTTTTTTTGTTTTGTTTTGTTTTGTTTTTCCCTAAAGGGCAAATGCCTTCTTTTTCTCCAGAAAAATTAATTAAAATATATTTTTTTTCCTTTAGAGTTCCTTCTTCTTGGATGTATCTCCAGTTCTGTCCCAGATGAGGGCTGCTGTTCTCGCGGTCAGGGTTCCATCACTTGGCCCATGAAAAGAACCGTTCCTGAGGATGGAAGATGCGTGGGAGATGAGAACGGGAAGAAAAGGCCTGGCTCATGCAGCCCCATGTTTATGGATGAACCGAGATGTGAGAACGTGAGTGAGCTGTCAGGAGTCACAGCTGCTGTTGTGACTAAGCTAGGGCTGGGGTCCTGGCACGGTGCTCTCTTGGTGACAGAGCGTTGTCCCTGAATGGAGGAGGTGAACCAGAGCTCTGGATTCTTTGTCTGGAGTCCTCCCGGGGTAGGAGGGAGTGTCTACACCTGTCTAGACTGGTGCCTGAGGCGAGAAGATGGGGCGGGGGCGGGGGGCTGGGGGAGAGGGCAGGGGCGCATCGTGGCCTCGGCTCACCTGTGGGGTTGTGCCGCACCACGAAGAGGAAGGGTCTGTCCATGATGATCTCCTCGGGGGCCATTCGAGCTGAGACGATGATGGCTAAGAGAGAAGGAACAAGGTTCTAGAACAGAGGGACTGGGCGCTGGTGCCTGGACTGATCAGCAGGGATGCCCTGACACCAGCCTTCTGATGGTAGCCCTGGGGGTTGTCTAGGAGGCTTGGCTGTGAGCCTTAACAGTTGAGGGAAATCCTCAGAGGCCTGGTTGCCTCTAGGAGTTTCGCCGAGACCTGTCAGCTCCTCATAAACAGCCATTTATGTAAGCCTTTGTAGAGCGTTTTGGTGAGCAAGTTCCTTAAGCTGACCAGCCACTGGGAGAAGAAGCCAGGCTTCCTTTGCGGGGTGGGGGGATGTGCTTTTCACCTTCAGGGTACCTCTGGAGCCGTCGGGTCAGGGACTGGGCTCCAAGGCCAAGTGGGCCCAATTTCTAGGCTGAGAAACTCTGTTGGGGTCGGGGCGATGCCCTTGGCATCAGGGCGAGGAGGGGGTGCCACTCCATGAGGGGAGCCTGGTAGAGCAGGGCCACGGGGTTCGCCCCAGATGTAGGCCCCTCCTGGAAGCCGTGGGCGGAGACCCCCCCAGGCCTCACCTGAGCCTGACTCACCTGTAGAGGAGGACGCCACCGTGCCGCTCTCGTTCACCTCGATCTTTACTTTCTGCAGCGCCTGGGACACGTACAGTGCCTCTTGATCTGAAACACAAGTGCATCCCAGGGCAGATCAGCTGGGGTTCTCAGAGACACACCCCTTTGTCCCCTTGGGGGCCCCACAGTCTGCCAGCGGAAGAAAGCGGAAGGAAAATCTCCTACCTGAAAGACTGGAGAAGTCTGCCTGGTTTGGCCTGAACATGTCAGTCATCCCCAAGTTCTCCAGGGGTCCCCGGAGGTTGACTTCGCTCTCCAGGGAGAACCTGGAAACAGGAGCAGGAAACATCTCAGGCTCGGGCCTCCCCTTGTAGCTTCTCCCAGTCCCTGCCAGTGTAGCCCCCTCCGGGCCTGGCTGGCGGCCCAACAGGTTGGGGACAGATGTGAAAGTGGAGGGAGGCTGGTCTTTTCAAATCTGTGTGGAAGGTCTAATAGAAATGAACATTGTCGGCCATCTCCCCGCCGCCTCCCGCCTCCTCTGCAGGAACCTGGTCTGTAGACTGTGTTCCGGGGAGCTAATTCTGAAGAGGACTCCAGCTCTGGGTTCCCCCTGCTTCCTATCAGGGCTCTCATTCCCTCTGGGTTTCACTTTATAGGGATGGGGTGGGGGCGGGGCAAGAGCATTCAAACCAGCTAAATTCTCCCCTTTCCCCAAGCCTGGCATTACAGCATCTGGAAATTTGGGGTCAGTGCAGTGGGAGGCTTCCCTACAATTCCGGAATGACCCAGCCTCAGCTTTCTCCGCCCTCTGTGCTTCTGCAGAAGGATTTTTAAAATCTCCTTTGTTAGAAGCCAGCTAGAAGCTGCTCGGGCTCCTTTTGTCTCCATTGTTTGGATGTTGACTTGAGCCGAGGGGGGTGGGAAAGGGTCTTTCAAAGGCCGATCTGGCCCCCCCACCTCCACCATTTCTCTGGCTCTTCCTTCGTCTGGCTTTGGCCTGGTATGCTGAGGGTGGGCAGGGTGGGGGCACGGTCTAGAAAGACTCCCCGCCGCCCTCCAGTGGAAACAGGAGGAGGGAGGATGAGCGGAATCTTAATCAAACCCAGGCCAGAGTGTTTCCCATCAGCTTCCCACACATGTCCCTGCCCTGCAAATGTTACATCTGGGAAACTGGAGGTGGGCCTTTCAGGGAGCCCTGGGGGAGGGGAGGGGGTACATAGAGGGGGTTTGGGGAGGGATTGGCAAGGGTGGTGAGAGCAAGGGGTGACTTACTTGGGCAGAACCAGGAGGCGGAGCCGTCTGGTCATATTCCCTTTCCACTGGCTGATGAGCTGGGCATCCAGGATGTTGGTGAGGGCAGAAAGAGGCACGTCTTTTTCATAGGGAGCAGCAATGAACATGCTGAGCATGTCTCCGTGATAGGGCAGTTCCAGGATGTCGTAATAATGGCCGTCGGGGGTAGAAAACTCGGCTGCGAAGACACCGGATTGGCGCACGGATAATGGCTTCTGCTTTTGTTGGTTCTCACCCAGCACTGGGTTTTCAATGAGTTTGGTCTCTTCTGCTCTTTCTGGAAGCCAGCTTTCTACCGGGCTTTGGAGGCTCCTCCAGTCAAAGTTTTTAATCCCCATTTCCCTCCTCTTCTGCCAATTCAGTGTTGTCTGGTTACCCTGTCTCCTTTTGGGCTCTTGGCCTTCACTCCCGTGTCCCCCACACCCAACCACTAATTCATCCTCATTCTTTTCTGCTTCAGCTCAACGTCCATCTGTACAGGCCTTCCCCCTGGAAGATTTGTGAGCCCCCCTTTGTAATCATACTAGAAACATTCGACTGGAGACAGAGATCAGGCGGTCACATGTGGGCTGGAGGGACTTTCTGGATGTCAGCTTTGTCTTGCGTGAGCTAAAGCTACATTTGGCTGCTCCCGCTATCCCAACAGCTCCTGCTTGAGGAGTCTTTGGCAAAGCTGGGCTATATTCGGGACTTTCTCCTCCCTGGGAGGGGATCCCCCTGGGGGGATGAGGTATAGTAGTGCTGGGACTTTTGGAAGAAGGTCTTGAACTTACTGTAGTTGAACTTGTTGGTCTGAGCCATCATGGGCACAGAGACGGTGCTGCCATCAGATTTGTGGAAGAGGCGGTGGTGGGTGCCTGACTTGGGGAAGGGGGTCTTCCACTGGCCTTTGAAGTAGAGGGCATTCACCAGCATCAGGCGCGTTAGCTGGTCCACAGTCCCTCTGCCCAGCAGGTTGCCAATCATGCCTGCGAGAAAGCCAGGTGAGCGGTGACGGGGTCAGATAGGTTTCAGTCCTATTAGCAGGTTTCCTTCAGTCGTCAGATTGGATGTGTGTCTTTGAGGCAGACTAGGGGTGTAAGTGAGCAGGGCTAGCTATGTTCCACCTGTTTTGTCTTCCTAGGAGTCTCGGGAGAGCTTCCCGCCCAGCATACGCTCTGCTGCTGGGATCCCGTCTGGGATCAGACTCAGAGAGAAGTCTTCCCTAACTTTGGCTTTTCCCTTGCTTTGCTCCCTAAGCTGTAGTCTGGGAGAGCTGTGTTCTTGTGCTCATTACCGTTCTTTTTTTTTTTTTTTTTTTAAGAATTTATTTATTTATTTGACAGAGAGAGATCACAAGTAGACAGAGAGGCAGGCAGAGAGAGAGAGAGAGAGAGGGAAGCAGTCTCCCTGCTGAGCAGAGAGCCCAATGCGGGACTCAATCCCAGGACCCTGAGATCATGACCTGAGCCGAAGGCAGGGGCTTAACCCACTGAGCCACCCAGGAGTCCCGCTCATTACCGTTCTTATGACATCTCACAGCCCTTTTGAGCACCCTTAGAGGGCCTACTTATGAAAACAGAGATGCTCTGGTTCTTCTCTAAGAACCAGCACCTGACCCGTCTACAGAGAAGAGCACGCTGGCAAGGAGAGACTGGGCTGCCGGGGATCTGTTTCCTCTGCGGGCCCTCGGGCCCAGCCCCCTGTCCCTGCCGGCTCACCTTTTGTGTGTCGCTTCACCCAGTCGTTGACGATGAACCTGGCTCTCTCCACCTCTGAGAAGTCCACCTGCTTGACTGTGGTTCGGAACAGCCTGAAGAAGTAGGGCATGAAGCCGTGAACCAGCTTCAGATCCCGCTGGACGAAGATGGCGTCCGCAGTGCTGATGTCGTCCTTGTTCCACGGCCCCATGAGTTCCTTGTACAGCTGGCGGAGGGCAGGTGCCATGCCCTTCTCTGTGCCCGGACGGGACAGAGAGGACATGTCAGCTTATGTTAAGCCAAGGGCGCCCCTTTGGGCCAAGTTCCTCCACGAGAGAGGCCCAATCCCGCCCACCCGAATGGGGCTCTTCTGCTTCCTGGGGACCTCTGGAGGGAGATATCCTTCCAAATCTTAATCTCTTCTTCATCTCCCTCTTCTCCTCAAAAATCTCAGGTCCCCACCCTTTTGTGGGTTCGAATATTTTTCTCTCCTTTTAGGTCATGAACCCTACATTTTTTTCTTATTGGCATAATAGCGATGAGAAGCGTTTCACCCGCACAATTCGATTGAATGCTCATGGCAGCTCTGTGTGGGAGATAATTTTCTTGTCCCTATTTTGCAGATGAGGAAACAGGTCCACAGGGGATGAAGGTCGCGCAGTTAATAAGGGGTAAGCCACATCCCCTGACCCGTACTCCCAGTGACCAACTCGGCCCCATGACACAGGATGTCCAGGGAAATGGGGCACAGGAGGTGACTCGGCTCAGCCGGGGCTGGCCTTCCCCCTGCTTCTGGTTGGTGACGCCCCTGTCCCGAGAAGACAGGTTGAGCACCCGCCCGCCGCCTGCTCTGCCCCATCTCTCACCATCAATCTGGAACCGCATGGCCTCTTGGATTTGCTGCCGTGTCTCTCCTGCTGTGGTCAGCTGCAACATGGCCAGGACAGAGGCCACCCCATAGGGGGAGAAAACCATGTTGCGGTCCTTGGAGGCCTGTGCCACCTGCTTAAACACTTTCACTCCGAAGTCTGTGGCCAGTTCCGCTGCCCGAGTCTCGTGGAGGTAGGAGGCCGATGCTTCACCAAAGACAAGGGCCAGGCCCAGGGCAAGGCAGACTGTAGACATCTGCATCCTAGAGCAAGCGGAAAAGAATCTGGTGAGGGGAGAGTTCTGGAAGAGGGGTGGGTGGGGCGGGGAGACGGGCCCCCCTGCCAGGGGCCAGGCTCCCTGTGTTTGCCGTGGGCGGGTGATGCGTGAACACAAGGAAGAGACCCTGAGGGCCCGATTTCTGAGCCTTTCCCCTCCGTCTCAGCTCCACAGAGTCCCAGGTGCGGTTCTCCCTGTGGGACTCCAGCAGCCCCCTAGCAGCACCCTGCAGTGTCTCTCCTTTTGGGGGGGCGGGGAGGGCAAAAGGCTAAATTATAATACTGCCTTTGATTTGCATAATGCTTTTAATTCTCTTCTAATGTTTTCACCACTATTCATTCATTCAAGTTAGCAGGCATGGAAAGCCCCTTCCCAGACGAGGGCAGGGAGTCCTCATGCAGAAGGACAGAGAATCCAGGCCCTTGTTTCCGGGCGGTGGGGTTGTGGGTCCGGCCCCGCCACCGTACATCAACTCAGATCGGCAGGTCTCCAGTGGAGAGAAAAGAGGAAAAGCGGGGATTGTGGATGGAAGGCATTTCGTGGGAGGTGTTTCGCAATCCGAGGAAGAGACGGAGAGGTGGTTTTTTTCTCTCTTACCTGAAGTTCTCAAAGGTGCCTTGTGATTGCTGGTCTGTCCTGCTGCTGCGGCTGCCAGTGGCGATTCTGCTGCCCCAGAGGGGGTGTGGCTCCCCTGACAGTGCTCGTGGCCCCGCAGCCGGAGGCAGCTGTGTTCCTCGGCAGCCTGCTACCTCCCTTTATACCACTGTGGGCAGGAAATAGATGAACTCATGGCTCAGCCCCACCCACTTTCTGGATCTGGAAGTCCGGCCAGGCCCCCTCTGCACCTCCCTCTGCCAAACTCGCTGAGGCATGTGTGTGCGTGCTGCTCTGTGTGTGTACGTGTGTGAGTGGGGTCAGGAACAACTGAGCAGACCCTACTTGCCTTGGCCCAAGGGCTTCCCTGGACTTGCCCCCCTCTGCCTGTGCCCTTCTCTTTTGAGATGATCTGCTAGCTTGACTCCTAGCAGGGCCAGACGGCCCCAAAGACCCCGTGTTTGCAGTGACCTGCACGGGAGAAACAGTTTACATTCCTTCCTTTTCTTTCGGAGAAACGGGTTGCCTCCCTCCTCTTGGCCTCATCCCAGCGGCCAGAGGGCACAGAGCGCGCCATGTGATTGTCTGGGTTTTGATTGTCTAGGACATGAGCACACAGAGGACTCCCTTCCCTTCCGTTTTTTTTCCTCTTCCCTGCCGGGGGCCCGCCAGCCCGTCGATGATACACAGCTGACTCTCCCACGTGTCCAGACTCTCGAGGTGCCCCCTGGGCTCTCTTGTGTGCCAACAGCTGTGTCTGGAGGGGGTTTGAGTGTGCTGGGTGGGGTGATGGAAGGTGAGAGGGACCAGGGGTTAACGGGGTAAAGCCTTGGCGAGGAATTTGGAGCCTGGGGAGAATTACAGCTTATCCTTCCTCGAGAAGCAGACACCCTCAGGGCTGGAGGAGCCAGTGAGAGAATCCATTCGTGGCCTTTTGTTTGTGGGGTGCGTCTTTAGGCCACTGGGCTTGGAGGTGGAGGAGTGACCCAACAATCCTAGAGAGGATGGGAGTTGGCCAGAGGCTGTGTGTGGGACCGAACTCGGGCATCTGGGGGCTTAGTGGGCTCCAGCCACGTGCCCAGGCTGTTGTAGGCAGAGGGGGTGGCTGGGTGGGGAGATGAAGCCCTTGACCTGCCGGTCCACACACTGTCTTGCTGGGTGTAGGTGGTGGGGTTCAACTGGGAGTATCCGTGGAGATAGCAGAATCACAGGAAGTGTGAGTGGGTGGAAGTGTCGGGGTATTTGTTTTGGATGTTTTCAGTAAGCAGCTGCCAAGGGCAACCACAGCTGGACGGCTTTCCCCACTTGTGCTCTGCCTCCGCCTCCGTTTGTTTTCTCCGTTGCCCCTGGGAGTTAGGTGGGGAGGGGGCGGCAGGGAGAGAAGGGCAAACCTCGGTCGGAAAGTTAGGATCACCCACTCTTTTCCAGTATAGGACAGTTCCCATGTAACTTCTTGTTTATGTCCTTCTCCTCTGCTGGTCTGGTTTGCAGTCCCTGAGAGAGTGGTTAAGCACAAGGGGGCGGTTACTCTTGACCTCTCTCAAGGGGAGAAGACAGAAGCGCAGCCCCCAGCCCATCTCCTACCCCAGGAAATGCCCCCAGTGCCCCGCCCCCCACACCTGGGGGCATAACGGTGAGGGGGACAGGGCAGTGGGAGTCAGGGGTGGGAGGGCCAAGCCCCAAGCTAGCGGGGCAATGGTTGGAGATGGGACTGGAAGGGGTCCCTGGGGGCACCCTGCTGCCCGTCCTCTGTAGCCTCCTTGAGCTGAGCCTCCTTCCCTTCTTCCATTGGCCATACCGGGAGCCATCGTCCCTCGCCTGGCGTCGCCCAGCCAGGCCTTAGCCTAAAAGTCCCTGCTGTTTTCTGTGGACAGCTTGGGTCCTGCCAGGGCAGTGACCAGTTCCATCCCTGCTCCTGGACCTGACGGATGATCCTGGCGGCATTCCAGAAAAGACCCTCTGTTCCCAGGCCTGGAGGGGAGCAGCTCTGTGTCCCATTGGGGAGAGCAGGGATGCAATTTACGAGGGCTGACTTTACGAAGTCAGTCATGGGTGTGAATGGGTGTGAATTAGAAACTGAGGCAAGGCCCAGTGTCACTGGGTCCTATGCTGGGGTTTCTGACTCTTCCTTTGACTTTCTGAGGAGCTAGGGCTGCTAGATGACCAAACCCAGACTTGACCTAAGTCACTGTCACTCCTCTGTGTGATCAGGCCTTGCTTCCTCCCTGTCTGCCCTCTGGATACCCTCCACATGTCAGTGCAGCTAGGTCCCCCCGCTGTCCCCCAGCAGACATCCATGTGACACCCTTCTCAGAATCCATCCTGAGTCAAGGGGCCGTCACTTTACCCCCTTTTCCTGAAGCCCAAGCGAACAGCCTTGACCTTGCTCAAGCCATAGCTCTTTTGTAAAGGATCAAACAGACAGAAAGAGAAAAGTCCCTGCTTTTGAAATTGCTTGATCTCTGATTCCCAGAGGGTTAGAGATAAGAGGGTGAGTTATAAGACTATGAATTTCAGGGGAAGTTTCAGTTCCAGCCAACTGGGAAAGATGTAGCCATCTGTCCGCCAGCAGGTGGTTCATGACTAGACCAGAGTCACATTTTCCATGACTGTCCCCCACCCCCCACCCACAGACCCCAGCTTCTGGCCTCAGAGCAGCAGGTCTTCCCCGCACCCCTCACCTCCTGCCTTCCAGCTGTCCCTGGCCTGCTCTCCTCTCTTCCTCTTTGCTTCCCCTTTGCTCTCCCAACACCACCACCCCACTGGCTTTTTCACTTTCCCTTTCTCCCCCCGGGACTCCCTCTTCTTGACTGCCCTGTTCAACCCTTCCTCAACAGGTTTCCACTCCTACTCTAACCACGGGAGATCTCTCCCACTTTCCCCCTTTCTTTCTCTTCCGCTCTGACTCAGTCCCCCCTTCTCTGGCTTCTCCTCTTGCAGAAGCCCTTTTACAGTCAAATGCTCTGCTCCAAGTCTTCCTGTGGGGAGGAGAGCGCTGCCCCCTATCAGTTACACAGGCTCCCTGGAATGTTGGGGCCTGCCCTGCCGATTCTTGGTGATTTCACTGGGAGAGCCGGGGGTGGGAGAAAGACAGGGTCCTTCTAACTCACAGCACTATTTCTGGCCTGGTTGCTTTCCAAACAACACAAAGCCAAAAATAGCCTGTGTTTGGGCTAGCCTGGCGCTGCCCCTCTCCTCGGAGTGAGCTGGGGTGAGTGGCCTGTCTCCAGGCCTCTCCTCACTTAAGATCATGCCCCTGGGACCCCGACAGGCACATGCCTCCTTGGCGTGTCCAGGGTCCCTTCTCACGCAGGTGCCATGCCCGATGTCCCCTCCTCTGCCTCCACAGCCCCCTCCCCCTCTCTGGCTACTGCTGGCCTTCTTTCCTTACACTCCTATAAACCTATGGCCTGAAGAAGGCAGAAGCCCCAACCCGCCACCTAGCCCCAGCCTTGCTTGTCTGCGGCTGCTTTTTTCCGCAATTTTATCCCAGTATTTCAGAGCAGGGGACACTGGGAACCATTTAGTCTGGTCCTTCAAATTTGCAGGCATGGGCCCTGCGGTCTACAGAGGGGGCGTGAAGTGTGTGAGGCCACACGGCACCATCCAGTGGGGGAGAAGAGCGGTCACAGCCAAGGACAGACCCACCCGGACACGTGGATCTGACACCTTGCTGGTTATGTGTCCTCAGGGACAACTTAACCTTCAGATGCTTCGGTCTTCTTTTTCTTTTTTTTTTGTTTTTAAGATTTTATTTATTTATTTGACAAACAGAGATCACAAGTAGGCAGAGAGGCAGGCGGGGGCATGGGGGAAGCAGACTCCCTACTTAGCAGAGAGCCAAATTCGGGTCTCCATCCCAGAACCCTGGGATCACAACCTGAGCTGAAGTCAGAGGTTTAAACCACTGAGCCACCCAGGCGCCCCTCAGTCTTCTTTTTCGTAGATAAGTGTGTAGATGACAGTTTATAGAGAGGCTGAGAACGACTCCCACCTTTCGAAATATTGCCTGTGAGCGTGTGTTCTAAGCTCTCACTAAGTGGCAGCCGGCCATGCTTGGTTGGGACAGCTCGAGCTGTTAACCTTGATACAACTTGAGCTCCTTGATGTCAGATGTTCTGTTCGCCTCCCTTGGCCCGGGGCGAGTGTTGGCATCAAATGCCAGCTGCCGTCATCTACTCTGGGCCACATCTTCCCACTGCCACCCCCGGCCTGATGGGGAACCTCTGGCTGGTTTTGCCAATTTTAGGTCTTAGGAAAATGTTGCTCTCTGGGCTGTGGGGTCACATGTGCATCTTCCTGACATTCGACGCTTGTCCTGACCCCTGAGCATGCAGGGAAGGTGGGGAGTTTTTTGTTTTAGCAAAAGGTAAAAATCCAACAGAGCTTGGGGTGGCTGGGTGGCTCAGTGGGTTAAAGCCTCTGCCTTTAGCTCAGGTCATGATCTCAGGGTCCTGGGCTCGAGCCCCGCATAGGGCTCTCTGCTCATCAGGGAGCCTGCTTCCTCCCTTCTCTCTCTTTGCCTGCCTCTCTGCCTACTTGTGATCTGTATAATAAATAAATAAATTAATTAATTAATTAAGCATAATAAGTAAATAAGTAATAAAAAGCAAATAAAATCTTTTTAAAAATCTGTATTAAAAAAATCCAACAGAGCTTGACCAACTCTTCTAGACCGCCCTCTTGACCCATTCTCTGCCACCCACATCCCCGGTCCCTTGTCGGGTCCCCATACTCTTCATCCCTTGGGCACACTTCCCCCGTCCCACGGTCATGTCTGTACTCAGCAAGCCTACTGTGCTGTCGTTGTGTTTCATTGATTTTTATGTCCTGGGAGGGCCCCAAGGGGCCATATCCTCTTGGGGGCTCTCTCATAATGTCTCTGTTCAATGAGCACCAAGACCCCCACATCCCCCAGGCAAAAGTGAGCCTCCTCTCTTGGGGGAAAGAGGCAGAGGGAGTGAATGGGGCCCAGTGTGGCCCCAAGGGGAAGTCTGATGAACCGGGAAGGGTGGGGTGTGCAAGTGCTGGGATAGTTGTGGCCGCAGGGTCTGCCCCTGTCAGCCGGAATGAAGCAGTGCAGGCCTGTGGGGCACCCCAGGGCCACC